CTGTACTGTCTCTCCCTTAAGTAGCTTCCCAATCCTCTCTCTTCTTGGAAGAGTTGGGCATATCCTATCCCGTCAAATCTTTCTGACTTGTCATTTTCTCTGCCACTCAGTTAGACATCACTTTCAAACATGGGTGCTTCCTTCTGCAAACTAAATTTACCTTCATTGTTTGGGATTACAAGTGTGTACTAAGAGTGTGGCTATATTCCAGCCAGAGTGAGTAAAGATGTGTGCTAAGTGCTGAGTCACACCACAACTAGAAACAGGTTCAAATATCCTGTAACAGGCCGTTCTTGTTCTCCAATGATTTAAACAATGGATATAAAATTGCTACATCACATACAGCAGCAATATAACATAAAATTCCAACATAACAAACATTTAACTAGAACACTTGTTTGTGCAACAAGTAGTTGCTAATTAAAGAACAGTGGGAGAGACAAACTAAGGCAAGGAGACACAGGTGGATACGGTGAAGATGATATCCAGATAGTAGAACCCAGTACCAAAGGGCCAGAGATTTAGGAATTGCTTTTGACACGTAAGTTGTACTTTATTGAGTTTTTAACATACAAATGTATAATGGGGTAGTTATCTTTAAGTAAGACAGATATTTTAAAATACACATTCATCACAGATGTGTCCATTTCTGCCTCGGAAGTATTTTTTAAAAGATGTATTTCCATCGTCAACATAAGAAAGAATTAGTACAACTTCCAAGAAACTTTTATTAAATAATGATTTCCTTAAATTATTTCCACTGCATAATATTATCCTTGATATTAATATTACAAAATAAGTGATAGATGGTGATTTTTTTTTTTTACCTGAAATGTATCTTTTCCACCCTTTTCTTCCAAACCTTCTGGACCAACAAGTTTTAAGCACGGAATTTACAAACAGAACACAGTTGTCTTCCATTTTGATCCAAATAGTGTATTGAAATGGCATGGGAATATACATTTCCATTCCAAAATAAGAAAAGGAGCATATTTAGCAAATACTGGACCAAAGTAAGTTGGAAAGCCATCAGGGCACACTCCAGATGCCCAGTGACGTCAGAGGAGTTATTAGATGGCTCTTCATATCTCCCACCCCTTCCAGCTTTGTTGACTGCAACACAGTTCTCCATCTTGATCTGGTTCCATGTTCTGTCTGCAGCTTTCCTTGGCAGGTGCCCATGGCCTGGCATCTCTATTATCTTGTAGTCTCTAATGCAATCTAGGCTTCACTTTCTTCACTCAGTGGCCTTTCTGGACCCCCATGCAGGGTCTGTCATGTCACATGCTTAGCTTCAGCAGCTTTCCTTAACTGCACAAGAAGATTCCACAATGCCTTTACACTGATTTTTTTTCTTAATAAATCCAAAGCTGTTGAATTGTTGCCTGCTGGAACCTGGCTCAGTCCTGAAATTACATTTTCATAAGATTTCCATTCAGCCTCAGACCTCTCTTTAAACTTCTCACCTCCTGAGCTCCAGCATCACATTCCCTGATGCTCTTTTTCACAATCAATACTAAGTTGTCACAAAATCTCTGTTACTGACATTACCCCAAAAACTCTTCACCTCCTATCTCAGATCCAAAAGGACATGGCATATATTCACTAATAAGTAGATATCAGCCAAAAAAGTACAGCATACCCAGGATACAATCCACAGAACTCAAGAAAGTTGACAAGCTGAAGAGTCCAAATGAGGAAGTTTGGGAGGGAGAAGAAAGCAGAGGGCAGAGGGAGGGAGGGAGGAAGGAAACAGGGTTGGAGAGGGGAGGAGGAGGGAAAGGGAAAAGGGGAACATGATCAGGTACTGGTGGGGGGTGGGGACCAGGAGTGAAGTACTGGAGGACTAGCATAATGTATAGAAATATGCAACCTCAGGAGGTGGGAGGTTGGGGAACCTTCTAGAATGTACCAGAGACCTGAGAGGTGAGAGAATTTCAGGACTCAAAGGGAAGGACCTTAGATGAAATGCCTTACAGAGAGGAAACTTGCAGAATCCACCTCCAGTAGAAAGACAGGGCATCAAGTGAGGGATGGGGTTGCCATCCCACAGTCAAAAACTCTGACCCAGAATTGTTCTTGTCTAAAAGAACTTCAGGGACAAAAATGAAGAAGAGATGAGGGAAAGAAGGTCCAGTGACAGGCCCAACTTGGGATCCACCTTAAGAGGAAGCTCCAAGGCCTGACATTATTACAGATGCTATGGTGTGCTTACAGACAGGAGCCTAGTATGGCTGCCCTCCTAGAGGCCCAACAAGCAGCTGACTGAGACAGATGCAGATACTTACACTCAACCAATGGACTGAAGTCAGGGACCCCCTGTGGTTGAATTAGGAAAAGGCTGGAAGAAGTTGAGGAGGAGGGCAACCCCAAAGGAAGACCAGAAGTCTCAACAAACCTGGACCCCTAAGATCTCTCATATACTGAGTCACCAACCAGAGAGCATGCACTAGCTGGTCAGAGGCCCCCAACACATAGACAGCAGAAGACTGCCTGGTCTGGCCTCACTGAGAGAAGATGCACCTAACCCTCGAGAGACTTGAGGCCCCAGGGAATGGGGAGGCCTGGCGGGGAACAGGTGTGTGTGTGTGTGTGTGTGTGTGTGCGTGTGTGTGTCTGTGTGTGTGTGGGGGCATCCTTTTGGAGACGGGGGAGGAGGAATGGGATGAGGAACTGTTAGAGGGCAGAGTGGGAGGGCATAACGACTGAACAACAAAAAAAAGATATCTAAAGATAACAAAATAACAACCAACCAATCAACCAACCAACCAACCAACCAACCAACCAACCAACCAACCCACAAACTCTTCACCTCAAACATATTTTTAGTCCATTTTAATAGCCTCCAAAACTGGTTATGGTAGTGAACTTGTGTAAAGCAGCTCTTAGCAGGCTGGGGAAGGAGAAGTCAGTTCGAGGTCAGCTCTGACTACACAGGGAGATCTGTCCTAATTTTAAAATGTCATTCTCACGCAAAAAAAAAAAAAAAAAAATATTGAGGACAGCACTTTGAGATTTATTTTGCCTAATAACTTGAAGATAGTATTTAACCATTCTGACTTCAGTGGTACCTAATAAGAAATCCATGAATTTTCAGAGGAGACAAAACTACCTTTTCTCTAAGATTTTTTTATTTGGTCTCAAAAAATGTCACAAACTAAATGAATAGTAAAAATATGCATGAGTACATTTACCATAAATGATATGGAACATAATGGCTAAAAAGTAGCCCCATTTCAAACTGAATTTCAAGCTAAGTTATTGTGTAAAAAAGAAAAAACTGGGAGTTAGCAGGACCTTATTCTTAGCCTAAGGATTGTTAACTACAGGCTGCCTAAACCGTGACTCTAAGGCAAGTCTCATTAGCAATTGAATCTGGACAACCATCTGAAGAGGAGACTGATCTTAGAGCTGCTTCATCGCCCAAACTGGTTTTCCCTTCCGATTACTGTGTAATCGTTACCCTAAAATATTAACCAGACACTCATTCTGCTTCTGTAATCTCAGCTAACTTCTTCTTGTTCAGGGGCAGGGGAGAGGTAAGTGTCTCATGTAGCAGAAGAATCCCCAGAGTTAAGACAGCTGTGGTTTGTGCAGCAGCTCTCCTATTGGCAAAGGAGGCTACTGTCACAACATTATAAATAAAATAAACTTGTTTTTATCTTTTAAATTGAAGTTTTGTGTTGCAGGATGTTTTATCATACTGTGATCCTTGAGATTGTTATTTACTGAAAAAACCTGTTTCTAGTTGTGGTGTGGCTCAGCCCTGGCTGGGATACAGACAGGTCCTTAGTATAACACCTTTAATCCCAAAACAATGAAGGTAAAGTTAGTTTGTAGAAGGAAGCACTTGTGTTTGAAAGTGATGTCTAGTTGAGTGGCAGGCCAAGTGGTGAGAAATATTTGATAGAATAGGATATGCCCAACTCTCCCAAGAAGAGAAGAAAGGGGCAGAGAGAAGAAATGAAACAGTTTTACTGGGAGAGTTTTAGAGAGATGGACTGAAGAGCGAACAAGTTAGACACAGGTGAAGACAGAATGAGCCAGAAAATTGAAGAGCCAGAAGATTAGAACAGATTGCCAAATTAGGATGAGGCCAAGCAGAGCATTCAGTGAGAAACTGAGAGACTGAATCAGTCAGTTTGGAGACTAGTTTGAGCCAGAACAGCTGAGTTGAATCAGCCAGCCAGAGAGAACTAGAAAGGGTAAGCTTATTCAGCAGTAAGTCTCAGAGGCTGAGAACATTCTAGGCCTTGATGAGATTGTACCGAGGCTAGAAGCTTCCAGAGCTAGGCCTAGGTTAGCAGATGGATGCAGTAAGCATTTACAAAATGAATAACTCAGATGGTTCTATTTTCTAGCTAAAAACTTAAAAATGCCCATTCCTGGATTTCAAAAAATTATGACAATTGGGCTGGACAGATGACATATTTAAAAACTTGCTACTTTTACAGAAGATCTAAGGTTAGTTCCTAGTATTCCTATGGCAGCTCCCAATGGCCAGTTGCTCCAGTTCTAAGGCATCCAACCCTGTACCTGTCCTGTGTAGAGGATACTGCATGCAAACATTCATAAAAACTAAATTGATAAGCCTTTTACTTCAGCCAACTGACACGAGTAACTCATTTTTCCAAATGAATTTGTTTGACCAACACTCTAGACTTCCTACACGTTTTGTAGCACTGATACACTATTTTTTAAAAGCACTTTTGAGAAGTTGCATAACTAGATCATCCTGTACTACTTTCACCTAGGAAGCAGCTGAATTAATGGCTTACTTTTAACTCAGTGACACCCCAAGTCGCTGAAACAGCACTACAGCACTACATTCACGCTACCCTAAATACCTCTACTTCCCTCTCCGTGAAGGTTTTACCACTGTCAAGAGTTAATAACGTTAACAGCTGGGTGAGGTCCAAATGAAGCCCGAAATTGACCGTCATTGGTTATACCTGTTCAGGAGAAAAACTGTCATGCACAGCTTTTCGTGAAAATGAAGGTGGCTCTGAAAAGAGCCTTTTTGTTTTAAGTTGTTAGCTGCTGTCACTTGTGCGGGAGTCACTTGGTCTGGGACTTGTGGTGGCTCTCGGTCTTCTTGGGCAGCAGCACGGCCTGGATGTTGGGCAGGACGCCGCCCTGCGCGATGGTCACGCGGCCCAGCAGCTTGTTGAGCTCCTCGTCGTTGCGGATGGCCAGCTGCAGGTGGCGCGGGATGATGCGCGTCTTCTTGTTGTCGCGGGCAGCGTTGCCCGCCAGCTCCAGGATCTCGGCCGTCAGGTACTCCAGCACCGCTGCCAGGTACACTGGTGTGCCGGCCCCAATGCGCTCTGCATAGTTCCCTTGGCGAAGAAGCCGGTGCACGCGGCCCACGGGGAACTGCAAACCTGCTCTGAAAGAGCGGGACTTGGCTTTGGCACGAGCCTTGCCACCCTGCTTTGCACGGCCAGACATGATTCTTCAAAAGCCTTGACGCCGTCAACGAGGCAGCGCGTCCACGCCTATTTATAGTCTAATGGCAGATTACACTAACCACCTGATTGGCTGATTGATGATGGATTAACCAATCAGAAAGCACTACTTGAATCCCCTTATTTGCATGCACTGAGTATTTATTATCCAATCAGATTATGCGTGTCCATACGTCATACAAGGTCTACGCCTATAAATACCACTCTCTTGCACCTCAAGCGGTGTGCTTTCTCAGCAGTTGGAACTGTTTTGAGACGTAGGAGTGGAAAAGGTTATTTTCGCGATGCCGGAGGTGTCGGCAAAGGGCACTACTATTTCTAAAAAAGGTTTCAAGAAAGCGGTCACCAAGACCCAGAAGAAGGAGGGCCGGAAACGTAAGAGATGTCGCAAGGAGAGCTACTCCATCTACATCTATAAGGTGCTGAAACAAGTGCACCCCGACACCGGCATCTCCTCCAAGGCCATGAGCATCATGAACTCCTTCGTCAACGACATCTTCGAGCGCATAGCTGGCGAGGCGTCGCGCCTGGCGCATTACAACAAGCGCTCGACCATCACGTCCCGGGAGATCCAGACGGCCGTGCGCCTGCTGCTGCCCGGGGAGCTGGCCAAGCACGCCGTGTCCGAGGGCACCAAGGCCGTCACCAAGTACACCAGCTCCAAGTGAGCAACCAGAACTCACAACAAACCCAAAGGCTCTTTTAAGAGCCACCCACCTCTTCTGTTAAAGAGCTGTGCTTACTTGCTGGTCTTAAACTGTGGTTGGGCATCGGGCTCTTGACTAGCAGCACCTGGTCCAGCATGTATTTAGGGCCCGAGTCCCGCCATCCGAACAGCTTTTCAAATGTGGCTTTTAGAGAACTACCTAACACCCAAGTAATTCAGCGCCTGAAGCACTCCCTGGCCTGATGTCTTTGTAGTGAGGGTGTCAGGTGTTAGTTTAGTTGGAAATACAACAGTCGATAGGACTGTCTTGTCTCAAATGTTTCATAGTGTAATATGTTATTAGCCTTAGTCAACTGACAAACGGTAATAACGGCATTTCATGCTCCTGTCAAAATGGCAGCTTCAGCGTACGCTTTTGGGTGACGCCCTCTCTAGT